AAAATAAAATTTTAATATATTTTTTGTCCTTCTAATATTTCTCTTTCTTCTTTCACTTCTACAACCTTGGAGTCACAAATAAAAAAATTATGAATTTTTCTTAGATAAAGATATTTGGCTAGGGTCCACGTGGCCCTAGGGTCCACGTGGCCCTAGCCATCAGAGGGCGATGTGGCACCCCTTGATGGCAAGGGCCCACGTTGCCGGACGAAGTAGCACGGTTGCTTTTTCTTCTACCATTTGTATTTGTTCTCTTTTTATATTGTTTTCCTCCATTTTTATTATTTCCCTCGTTCGATTTCAATTATTTTCAAAATACATTTTCTCTTTTCTTTTCAACCACATGTTATTCATTAAAATAATATTACGTGTAAATCCAAAATTTCTCCTTATTTTTTAACCAAACATTTTTCACTAATCTACTATTCCAAAATGTATTATTAGTTGTAACTAAAAAATTATAACATTTTTTTTTCTTTTTTAATCCAAATTTTTATGTAAAAGATCAATACCTAATTAAATTTTATCAAATTTCATATAAAAAAAGACAAATTCGTAATTAAAATTTTAAGTATATTAATTGGTTATTTATAAGGAGTCGAATGCTTTTTTTAAAAGAAATTATTTGCGAATCATTCGAAAGTTCATTTTGCCCAAAAAAAAAAAAATTAAAAAAATAAGCCTCCCATTTTTTGATAAAATGTATCATGAGATAGTGATTTTTTGGAAATTGAGTGGTATGTAAGAATTTTTTTTTAAAATACGTGTATAATTATTTGACGTGGAATTACGTTGTTGAAGAGGAGTTTCCAACAAATGAATTCTTGAAAAATGAGCTCAAGCAGTCTAAGAAAGTGAAATAACAGCTTATGTCATTGACTTTTGATGTAGTTAACTGAGCGCGCTCTCTCTCTCTCGCTCCTAAATTTTTTTCAAATAGTCGGTAGTCTACGGTCAGTCACAACTGATAGCTTTCAATTTCGTTGCAAGACTGCGTGATTTTTTGTGACCTGATGGGTAGTTCTGTGATTTTCTATATATAATTTTTTTGTGATTTTAGTTACATAACTGCGTGTTCTTGAC